GGGAGAACTTGCACAATTGGTGGCTGACTAAATACTTTTTTGCCCCACTGTATATATTTAATACATTATTATTATACACAACCACATGAAATCACAGCTGCCAGTTCTTTAGCTGGTATTGGCCTTAATTTGCATCGAATTCTTCCCAAGAACCTTACGTATTTTGTAGTCATAATGTATTTTGTAATTGATAGATGGAAATTTTGTCAATGTGCAGATTATTATTACTATTATTATTGTTGCTTTTAACTTTGTTTTGTGCACTGGTTGCTCAGTAGGTAATGTGCTATTAACACTCAAATATTTCTGTTTTGTAATATAGCTAAAGTTAAATCAAACATTAATTGCATTTTTTTTTCTAGGTTGCAATAAAAATAATTGACAAAACTCAATTGAATCCAACTAGTCTACAAAAGGTAAGTTTATTAGATGTTCAGTCTTTTAGGTGTACTATGTTTAAAGTCTTCTTTTCTGGCACATTTGCTTCTATTTTTAAATATTGTATTTTATTTTAAGAACTGCATATTCAATAGTGATTTCATTTTAATTATACAGCATTTATTTTCTCTACCAATGGATAGAATGGAGGGAGTCATATAATCTAATAACAGTCCCAATCTGAAGTAGGAATTTTCACCAAAAAAGCTGAAATAAGTACTATTTCTATATTTTCATATCTAAAACTGCAGCATAAACTGAATAAGATCTCTTGTGTCTGCAATTTTGATTTATGGACAAAATTTATAAAAACAACATCTTCATAGATCACATCTTTAGGCTGGAACCACATATATTGAAATTAGGGATCCAAATTGCTAACCAACTGGGAGTCAGAGCAGTGGAGGAGAGACAACCCATGCCTGTAACTTCCCATCACCCAAGGATGTTTCCTTGAGTTGTGTACCAAATTTGTATCAAGAAGCTTCTCTGTAGAAAAGCAGCTGGAAGAGGGTGAGATGTAGGGAGGAAGTGTAGGAAAGATTAAACATTCAGTCTTGCCCATTGTTTCACAACTGAACATTCCCTGCTGCATTTTTAGGTTTCCAGCAGTGGGCTGGATTTTGTGTTGAATGTATATTTCCAGACTATGAATGATTCTATTATTTATTTAGTAAATTTTATAGCTGCTTGATGACTGTTTGAATGCTAATTCCTCTTGGATCTTTCCCCCTAAAAGTTCTGTTCTATCAGCAATGAAATGATAGTTTGGTAGTGTTATCTCTGAGACATTGGCTGGTTTAAAATAAAACCATTTGATTGCTCTGCCTCCTTTCTGTATTAAGAGCAGAAAATAACAAAGCAAATGTTTGGAACGTCAACCTGAATCCATAGTTACTTGAAAGGCAGAAAGAGAAAAACATTACTGTGGAGATCATGCAGTTCTTAGGAATCAGTCTACTTTTGGAATCTTCCTGACTGAAAATCCCAGCTGTCAAATGAATATTTTGTTTACTTTATTAACAGCTTGATGAAAATGTCTTATTTTGGATCAGAAGAGTTGAAAATAAATTAGCATGCAGTTTAGTTTCCCAGTTAATGAATATACTGTAATGGGTATATATTCAGTCTAGAACAATCTAGCTACATATTGAAATAGAATCTTATATTTTACAGGAAAGAATAAAAAAGGCTAATAATTTTCTTTCCTTTAACACCTGTTATCTTTAAAAATATCCAAATATCCAAAAATAGAGCAAGTGTTTTAACAGCAACATGCAAATATGAATGCAATTAAAAAAAAAAACTTCTCTAACATATTCCCTATTTAATATGTGAAATCAAGTTATATCTGGGGAAAAAACATACAGTCAGGTCCAGAAATATTGGGACATCGACACAATTCTAACATCTTTGGCTCTATACACCACCACAATGGAT